ATCCAGTGGCGCGTTTTCCTCATCTCCTACACAGTTCCTCCTCCCTTTTTGGTTTTCCGCCTCCTCCTCCCGGGAGCCCCGAAACGCCCCTATTTCTCCGCCTCCTCCTCCTCCTCCTCCTCCTCCCCCTCCTCCTCCTCCTCCTCCTCCTCCTCCTCCTCCTCCTCCTCCTCCTCCTCCTCCTCCTCCTCCTCCTCCGCCTCCCGCTCCTCTGTGGGGAACTTCACACGTTCACGCATGCAGCCGGCTTCCCGGCGGTAGCGTTACGTGGGGTGTGTGTGTGGGGGGGAACATGCGCTACGTCCCGAAGTGATAAAACAACAGCCACTTTATCTCAAGACGAGACGGCCGATGCAGCCCACAAGGACACCCTCGGGGAACCCCCGAGCCCCCAGGAGGGGCCCCAGAGACCCCCAGGGCGGCCCCGGGGCCCCAAAGGGGGAGCTCGAGCTAACATCGTGCCGTCCACCCAAACATGGCCCCCGAGATCGCTGGTGACCCTGAAGAGGTCCCCAGACCCCACGGGGCCCCAAAAAAGACCCCCACGAGGCCCCCCTCCCCAAAGTGCCCTCGCGAGGCTTCCAAGAGGCCACGAAGAGCACTCCGCGGAACCCCACGAGGCCGCGTTCGCGCGAGGCGTCTGGCCCACGAGCCAGCCCGTCCAGGGCCCACTGTCGGAGAGCACCCCACGACGCCCCCCAGATGAGCTTGGAGACATGGCGCTCAGGGCCGCGCCAAAGACGCCCCTCAGATGAGCGCCCATGGGCCGCGCCAAAGGGCGCCCAGGTAAGAGCAAGCTTCCCGAAACGCGCGCACTGCGGGTTTGACCAATCTCGCTTTCGAGAAAATTTTACCGTGCCCGGGTGCCGCTGCCCGGGGCTCGAGTGCCCAGGTGCCCGGGTGCCCGGGTGCCCGGGTGCCCGGGTGCCCGGGCGCCCGGGTGCCCGGGCGCCCTGGGCGCCTGGGCGCCTGGGTGCCGGCGTGCCCAGGTGCCCAGTGCCTGCAGTTCGTGACCAGGTCCCTGCGTCCCCGGGTGCCCGGGGGCATGTCGTGCCCAGGTCCCTGGGTGCCCAGGTCCATGGGGAACATGATGCGTGCGTCGGGGGCAGAGGATGCGCCCTGCTGAGGGCCACCACGTCTCAGGCAAACTCGCACAGCACGTGGAGCGACGGCCTCTCGCAACGCACGCAAAGATCGCATCAGGTCGTTCGGAAATGTGTTTACCGTTGTTTGCTCGACACTTGCGAGCAGGTCCAGAGGAACGCCCTCGCCTTTGCCAAGAAGAGCGCCATCGTCTGCTCCAGCCTGGACGCATCGCCCAGCGCATGAAGAGGCGCAGCCGCATCATCCAGCCGAGAGCTCAGGCAAACTACCAAGGCATGGGCCTCGGCACGAGCGTCCGTCATGCGCATGGCAATCGGACGCACAGGCGTATCAAGCACGTTATTTCGACGACGGGTCGCCGACGCCCTGGGGCCGAGACTACCGGGCCAATGCTCGACCGCGCTCCTGGACCTGACGACAGCAGATCGGGACCCAGCCCGACGTTTCCCACGAGAGGCGGCCCAACCCTGGCACGGTCAATGGATTCAGGCAGGACCGATGCAAGAGACAATTCAATTACTGCAGTCGACCATCATCCGTTACATCCTCGAACAGGAGTGGGATCCAATTCAACCAAATGAGTGGCACCTCCCACCATTGCCGACCGACGGCACCGACACCTCGGAATTCAGGCATGACAATGTCTAAGACGTACCAGCGGTGGACATCCCAGAAGCGCCCTACGAGGACATAGACAAGAGCATGTAGGCCAAACACTGGAAGCAGGCCAATCAGCACTACGGAGGTTCGGGAATGGAAGCAGGTGTCGATGACTATTCAGATCGGCGGCTGCTCAAGGTCGGCGGCGAACCCAGGGGGGAAAAGAGAAGGGGCGGGCCTTCTCCGAAGGCTCGGAAGTCTCCCCTTCTGAGAAGTTTCCTAAGCCTTCCCCGAAGACAGAGAAAACCTCTAGGCCAGAGGGTTTCCCAGAAGTCCCGCCAACTTCTGAAAAGGCTTTCTCCTTCTCATTTCCCTCCCTCGTTCGCCGCCGACAAATACCTGGGGTCCACGAAGAACGGTTTCAGACTACCGGCTTTCGTGTTGGCCATCGCCGTCGGCACCATGTGGCCAAAGGATCGAGCGAAGGCTGCGGTCAAGGAAGCCGAACAACTGACGTGGCCTGCGAGAGATGCGGCGAGACAGCGGGGACCAGCTTCCATCGAGGCATGGGAACGTCCGCGCCAGAAGGCCAGACGCTTTCACGAGGCCACCGACACGTTTGGACCCGAAAACAAACGACACCACCCCACCTACGGCCCCACAGGGCTCAGTAACACCAGGAGGTCTGGCGTGAGTGCTTGCATGGTACACGCTACGGCCCCCGATGGGCCGTAGCGCAACATGAGGGCCGTAGGTGGTGTGGTATCGCTTGTTGTTTGGTCGAACGGTCATAATCGAGGCTGTAGCAGGCACAGCAGCACACGGTCGAGAGTTTCTGGACTCGTGGACTCATACCCTGGCCTTGGACAGAGCTGCCGCAACCCAGGGGTAGAAGATTGCTGGTCGACCCATGGAGCTGACAGCTTCACGCAAGGGTGTTTCGACCATGGTAGTGGAGAACCAATGTACGTCTTCGGCGATGCTAGCGGGGGCCCCGCCACAGCTCAGACACCACTGCGCCGAATTGGGGCAGGCATCGCAGATTTGACTGATCTTGCCAAGAGCAGCACGTACTTCCAGGCCGCAGTCTGGGGGGCCCTTCCAGGAGGGCGCCAGACGGTCGTCAGAGATGAACTCATGGCGCTGCTGCTGGTCATCTTCCCCACCGATCGAGAACTCATGTTGTTCATCGGCAGCGAGGGAGTGCATATGAACCGATGCAGTGGTCACGAGGAGGCCCCCGAGGGCTGAGGGGCCAGATGCTCACCACTGGTTCAGCTTGATTTGCACTCGCTCGCACAAGGCTGCACGAGACATTGTGGACAGGAGAAAAGAAGTAGTTCTCCCGCGTATGGAAATGCTGTTGCCGATGAGCTCGCGGGAGGTGCCGCTGCTGAGTCTCGCATCCCCGCTGGGCAACGCCAGCAGTATGACTTCACTGAGCAGAAGGCCTTCCTAGTTCGGATAAGAATATTGAGGGCCACCATCGAGGCGAGTGAGGCTGAGGGAGTTGCCCTCCCTGCGCGCCCAAGGTTTAGGCGGCAGGAGGGTGTAGCCCCTGCTCAGCCCCCTGCCTGGTGTGTATGCTCTCTGTTTTTTTCCTCAGCCCACTCTGTAGATATCCACGCAATATCCTCAGACCGAGTGGTATAAACGTCTCAATGTTGATGGAACTTATATGGGCCCCCCTGGGAAGCAGGCACATTTGGTAGAGGGATGTGTTCTTTGAACCTTCGCTTGAGGCTCCACGCTGGGCTGAAACATGGTAATGTTATCATTGTGGGGCATCTGTCAACCTAACGGTTGGCAAACTGCACCAACTGTGCGGGCCGGGAGTATTTCACGCGAGTCAGTTAGGGGTTCTGGCGCGAGGCTCTCAGCAAAGCTGAGCGCAACCAGAAGTGCACCCCCAAGTAGGGTGAAGGGGGGTCTCACTCATATTGCTACGCGATGAGGCAGCGTCTCCAGAATCTTCGCCATCCCTTCCTCCTCTTCATCCTCCTCCTCCTGCTCCTCCTCCAACTCCATCTCCCCATCCCTCTCCTCTCCTCCTCTCCAGGCGTGCTGCGCGGCACCACGCTCTTTGAGGTCTGGTGTCCATTGGGGCCAGACGATCTCCGTCGTGGGTCCCAGGCCCACCACGAAAGCGAGGTTTGCCCCCTCCTACTTACTCCCCTGCTCCTCCACCTGCTGCAATTGTTGCTGCAATTCCTCCTCCTCCTCCTCCTCCTCCTCCTCCTCGTCCTCCTCCTCCTCCTCCTCCTCCTCCTCCTCCTCCTCCTCCTCCTCCTCCTCCTCCTCCCCCTCCTGCCGTCAGGCCAGGCCTGGAGTGCCTGCCACCGCGGAGAAGCGGTGCAGCCTGGGCTCCGGTGACCAACCGCAGGACTGGCGGAGGCGGGTGGGGCCCCTGGCCAAAGTGGTGGGGGCAGCCCCTGCCCAAAAGTGGCAGGGGCGACCGCCCTGGGGCGTTCCTTCCCCAGGTGGCTGCCAGCAGCGTGGGCCCCTCGGCGGTCAGAGGGCTCCACCCTCCCGCTGTCGGTGGGGCGCGGCTGGCGGCTTTCTCCTCGTTGGGCCACGTTTTGTTGCCCACCCATTCCCCCCCCACGGTCTGGGTACCCCGCCCAGGCGTGCGTGGGGGTGGGCGGGTCGCCTGCGGGCGGCTCATCGGGGTACCCCCCCAGCCTTGCCACGGCCGTGGTTCCCGCCCGGCGCGCGTGGGGGTGGGGCGGTCTGTCGTGGGAGCGGTGCCCCACGGAGGCTGATCGGGGCGGCTCGGCCTCCTGGCGTGAGGCGTGTCGTTACGGTTGGGCGCAGCTCGAAAATGCCGCGGGGCAGGTAGTGCGCGCTGCTTGCTTTTCGGCCCGAAATCGTATGGTTCTAGGTGCACCGCTACTGCCTGCTTCTTCTCACCTCCAGTGCTCTGCTCTGGTGGTCACCTTGGTGTGCTGTTGTTCATCAGAGAACGATTCAGGTCAAAAAAAATCCTCCCCCCCTCCTTCTCCTCGCCAGCATTGTATACTTCCTCCTCCTCCTCCTCCTCCTCCTCCTCCTCCTCCTCCTCCTCCTCCCGGGAGCCCCGAAACGCCCCTATTTCTCCGCCTCCTCCTCCTCCTCCTCCTCCTCCCCCTCCTCCTCCTCCTCCTCCTCCTCCTCCTCCTCCTCCTCCTCCCCCTCCTCCTCCTCCTCCTCCTCCTCCTCGGGACGCCACCACAGCACACCAGCAAGCCGCAGAACCCCGAAACTCTCTTGAACCTCATCCTCCTCCCCTTCGATGGAGGGGACCAGGTGGATGACGCCTCGAAACCAGCATGCGTTGCAGGTGCGGCTCCAGCTCCCTCAGGGCCTCGCCCGCGGAATTGTCGACGTTGTTCTGTCGCATGTACTCCGCCACGAGGCTCTCGAGGTCGTCACCGCCGTCGCCGGAGGGGGCCGCCGCTGGGGAGCCCGAGGCCGCGATGGTCTGATGCGGTGCTGGCTCCGCGCCTGGGCCGGCCCCCGCGCGCGCGCAAACCCTCCCTGCCATCATTCGGACGCCCGTTCGCCATGTATGTTTCCCCACGCGTCAGGCTGAGGTTGTTAGATTTTCAGAACAGGCCTGCAGACCCGTCCACCCTGCATGCCGCGGCCGCCAGATCCCCAAGTCCCCCGAATGTCCCCGAGGGGTCCGCCTCGCGCCACAATGCATACCGCGGCCGCCAGATCCCCAGGTCCCCGAACTTCCCCAAGAGTCCTGCCTCGAGCCACTCTACACCGCGGCCGCTTGATCCCCAGGTCTCCCGAGTGTCCCCGAGAGTCCCGCGTCGCGGCACTCTGAATGCCGCAGCCGCCATACCCCCAAGTCCCACAAGTGTCCCCGAGAGTCCCGCCTCGCGCCACTCTGCATACCCTGGCCGCCAGATCCCTAAATCCCGAGTGTCCCCGAGAGTCCCGCCTCGCGCCACTCTGCAACTCGCGGCCGCCAGATTCCAAGGTCCTCCGAGTGTCCCCGAGTGTCGCGCCTCGCGCTAACAAGTCATAGCATGATGGACCAGCATTATAACATAGCAAAGCATCGTACAGCACAGTATTATAACTTACGACAGAACAAAGCAAACCACCACACCAAATAACAGGTCTGAACACAGCATACGATATCATGGCATAGCATACCGTGACAAACAAAACACGATGGCAGAGCAGCACACACCATAACACGACAAAATAAACATACCATACTAGCACATCACAGAGCTGGCCATTCCAACACATGATATGCCCCAGCCTCACACAACATGGCATATCATATCATAGCACAACACAACATCGCATAGTATGGCATACCAGATATTACACACTACATACCAACACATAACACGATCACATAACATGTCATACCACATTATAGTATATCATAACATACCATGCCATAACACACCACACCATAACACAGCATCACAGTACATATAACGTGGCTGATAGCATGACAGCGCAGATGAAACATCATAACATGACAGAGCGCGGTACAATAACCATTTCAGAACATAGCAAATTCGCCGGCCCACCAGGCCAAGGGCGTGCTAAGACCTCCGGTAACTGTTGAACAAAATTTCTAGTTCGCGCGCGCGGGGCCGCCCCTGGGGGTCCCTGGATGAAAAATACCCCCGTAAACCCCGGCCACGTCCAGGCCTGGTCCCGGCCGGGTCCCGGCCGAGCCCCCGGCAGGTCCCGGGCAGGTCCTGGCCAGGTCCTGGCCAGGTTCCAAAAGCGACCGAAGACGCTCAAGATTGCCTCCAGACAGCCCAAAGCGCCTTCAAGACGCCCCAAGAGGCCTCCAAGAGACCTCCCAAGAGGGCCCACAGAGGCAGAAATTAGTGATTTTCCCTCAGTTTCTGATGGTGTTTGGCGATCTCGCCTTTTCGGCTTACCAGCGCTCCAAGGCGGCCCCAGAGGCTTCCAAGACCGCCCCAAGACGGCCCACGAAGCCTCCAAGAGGGCCCCAACACGGCCCAAGATGGCCCCAAGGCAGCCCAAGAGGCGCCCAAGACGGCCCCCAAAACGGCCCCAAGAGGGACCAGGAACCAAAAAGTCCAGCCTTCAGCCCCAAGAGGCTCCCAGGAGGCCCCAAAAGGCCCCCAGGAGGCCCCAAGGAGTCCCCAGGAGGCACCGAAGCCCCAAGAGGCCCCCCCAAAGGGCCCCCAGGAGGCACCCCAAGAAGCCCCAAGAGGCCCCAAAGAGGCCCCAAAAGGCCCCAACACGGCCCCCAAGAGGCGTCAAAACTGCCTCCCGAAAGTCCCTGAGAGACAAACCACGAGAGTCCAACCATCATTCGTGAGGCCTCTGACCCGCCACCCACCGCCTCCGAAAAATGGCAGCCGCCCAACCGCACCGCATTGGCAACAACACCCCGACAAACGACAGCGGCGAGGCAATATGGTCCGGCGGAATGAGCGAAGCGATTAATTGATAACGCTATAAGTTATGACATAATGGAACCTACAGAACACAGCATAACACCACGCGCCATAATAGATCACCATAGAACAAACCATAGCATACCATGACAGACCAGACCATAACATTACACACCATGGCAGAGCATATCACACCGTAGCACAGCATCACATCACATAGCTTTCATTACCTTGCGAGTCATACTGTGGCAGAATGCGACATAACATCATAGCTTAGCGTACCATGTCGGATCAGAGCACGATACCATAACAAGGCAACATAATACATAGCATGTCAGACCAGAACATAACCGAGTGCACATCGTAACAACAAACGCGATGGCATCATAGAGCATACAACGCATAA